GATAGCTTCATAGTGCTGTGCTTTAACCCCTTGCACCACCAGGAAGGGCCCTGTTGTATCCTTTAGTCCTTCTTTAATCCATAGTCTCCCCTTTTTTTGTTCTCATATATTTGATATGTTAAAGGAGCAGTTATCAGTTGACCTATAGAATATCCCATATCCAAAATTTGGCTTTACTTCCTTGAAGTACCATTTTGCTTGTTCCTCTAGCCCTTTGTATTTATGGTAATTTGAAGCTAATTCTAAAAGTTTGATTAGAGTCAGGTTTAATATCTTTTGGCAAGAAGACTTAAGCAATAGTATATGAAATCTCACATGGCTTTCAATGTTTTATGGTGGTCAAGGAAAATTTCATTTTATCTTGAAATTAGAAATAATTTCCTTTGATAATGACATTGGATGAGGAAATCCAATCATACTATCTGTTCTGCTATGAATGGCATTCATAGGTTGTTAAAGTAACTGCTGTTTAACGGTTTTTAATTTGCAAAATCAGTGTTTAGTAAAATAATATTCATTGTACATAGGCAATAGGATGTAGCTACAAGTTTGTTGATGTAAAAGTAAGGAGTAGGGTGAAGAATTGCAATATTCATATCTGCAAATAAGGGAAGTAAGTGATATAGAATAAAATAAGATGAAAAGCTTAAGATTACAAAGGAAACAAGTTATAATTATTAGAAATAATAATAACAAGTATAATTATTAGAAATATGAGAGAGAGAAATGGAGTTAATATTAGCGGACTTAATCTTTGATGTAAGAAGATTAATAGATAATATCTAAGGATGTCTTCACTGCTACTTGTAAACCTCCCATTTATACTTACATTCTTACAGTAATAACTGCTAGTGAAATAGTAATAACTGCTTGTGAATAGGCTTTTAAAGTGTTGGAGAGTGGAGTGGGGTGGAGGAATGGAAAGGAATATTGCTTTTCACTTTTAAGTTTTCCTGGAAACCATGCACATTCATTAAGAAAGTAATAACTTTTTTCTTCTTAGTGTTAATATCTACCCCACAATGTGGCATGGAGTAAACTCTATTTCAACATATTCTTAGTATTCAAATATCTGACAAATATTTATATTTAGTAGTTGTATATCAGGAGGAGCATGACAGTAGTTAAATTTTGGCTTGCTGAAAAGAAATAATATCAAAAATCTATACAATTAAGGTATTTGAAGTGTTTGCCTTTTAATTGTTACTATTTGTTCCTCATTATTTGGTCTTTTTAAATTGTCATTTGCAGAACCACTTTCTTTGACATATTTATTATAATTAGTATTTAAATTTTGATGTAGTATCAGAATGCTGCAAAGTAACAAAGTATGTCAAGAAAATGATTATGGGAAGAGATAAGAGCTCCTAAAATAATGTCTGTAATCAACTAAAGAACAGTTCTCTTGACAAGATAAACCTCAGGATGATGGTTCGGTATATCACAGAAAAGCTTTACTAATTGAATTTAAACTTTGAGTGGTTATCCATTGTATTGTACAAAATGAATATGGACAGCTAAAAAAATTCCAAAAATGTCAACATGTTACTTTACCTGAACAGGGCATAATTTCTACGTATCTCTGGAAGAGCAGATTCCATAGGTCACCATGCTAAAAGAATACAGAATTTGAAGAGTAGTTAAGGCAGGAAATGAAGGGTCAAACTCAGCATTGCTTAAGAAGGGTATCTTGAGATGATCTCTTTGAATATAATCCTAATTCAAAAGAGAAGGTAGATGAAAACTTTATAATGAAACCATGACAAAATTTTATCATAGCAAGCATTTACTTCATTTGCTGCTTTGTGACTTAAGCAACAAACATTTATTTCACACAGTTCTGAAGACTAAGTCCAACATCAAGGCACTGACATACTCTGGCAAGGACTGCTGCCTGTTTCACAGGCAGCAGCGGTATTCTCACTGTGTCCTCACATACTGGAAAAGGAAAGAAAGTTCTCTGGGGTCTCTTCATGTAAGACTATGAATCCCATTCGTAAGAGCTCCATCCCAAGGACCTAACCACCTGCTCATGCACACACACATGTATGTATATGTAGTGAAATATTGATTATAAGCACTGAAGTTTCTTTAAAGTCTTTGTAGATGTTGAGTTTAGTCCTTCTAAAGACCTTTGGACTTGGATCTTTACCTTTCTATCTTATTACTAATTTTCATTCATTATAGAATCTGGCAGAAAAACCTGTTTATTTGTATAATGCAAGTGTTCTACAAATTTTATGCTTTTCAGTGCAACTTAAAGATTATTTATGAAATATAGTTACTATAAAGAACAGTGGATATGAAATCAGACTCAGTCATAATCTTTGGTATAATCCTAGACTGTGTAACACTGGACCAATCATATAACTCTCTGGGCCTGTTCCTTCTCTTATAAATAAAGTCTTATGAACTTGAACATTCATTCTGTGACTCTGCTACACAATCTAAATTATTAAAGTTCAGACATTGAAAGATTATGCAGAAAGCATGCATAGCCTTGTTATACTCAGCACTTGCCATATTCTTTAACAAAATGTGGAAAACTTCATTAAATAGTTTTTTCTTGAGATGATCGTTTCCTTCTACCTAAACTTATATTTGCAAAATATAAGTTTATAATTTGGTTTATCTTTTCAAATCTTTAATCTAGGGGAAAAGGAACACTCCACAATCAATCTAATAGATGCTAAACAAAAAGTAACACAACTAGCTTTTAAAAGTAGAACATTCACCCTCAAAGTTACAGAAATCCAAATGGTTCTATTTCAGTTATTACAGCTAGCAAAGAACCAACCCCAAAACATAGTGGCCTAAGCAAATAATCTTTTTAGCTCATGAATCTACATGTGGGACAGGGTTCTCTGAGGGCACCTTCTTTCTCTTCCATGTGATATCAGCTGATACAGGTCATTTTCTCCACTTTACCCTTTGTAGCAAATCTCTTGGAGAGGTTTTTTTTTTTTTTTTTAAAGATTTATTTATTTATGCATACAGAACTGGGGTACAGGCCAGAGATATGGAGGGTGAGAGGATTCACCAGAGACAGAGTGGGGAGCAGAACAGGCAGATAGACGAAATACACTGCTGAGAGGAGCAGCAGGCGGGTCAGGAGAGGTCTGTCACGCCATGTGGATCTCCTCCGGGGCAGGTGGGGATCGAACTCATGAGGAAGTGGCTTAAGCTTCTTAGTGCAGTGCCTTAACCCGCTGCGCCACCAGGGAGGGCCCTTGGAGAGTTTTTTTTTTATAGACATTATCTCGGGTTCTCCTCTGCCATTTTTTCCTTTTTAAAATTCTTTTAATAGTTCATTTTGAAATCATTTTAAATGTAGAGAATATTTTCCTGAAGTATAAACAGACTCCTGTGTCCCCTCATCCAGACTCCCCAGTTGATAACGTTTTGTCAAAATTTATTCCATTACTCAGTACCCCTTCCTTTATCCCTCTGTCTTCATACGTACATACACCCCATGATAAGTCATCTTTTTTTGAATGTTTAGAAAGCAGACTTTACAAATAATATTCCATCACTACTAAATACTACAGTCTGTATTTTCCAGCAACAGGGACTTTTCCCTATATCACTAGCATACAACTCTCCAGATCAGGAACCCAACACTGGTACAGCCACCCAGCCAACAAACCCCATTCTTATTTCCCCACCTGTCTCAGTAGTGTTTCTTGGTTCTTGCTCTTCTCTTGGTTCTTGCTGCTTCAGAATTCCATCTAGAAATAAATGATGTATTTTGTTGTCATTTTTCTTTAAACGCATCCAATCTGAAACAGTCACTTAGTCTTTCTCTTGATAGTTTTAATGAGTACAGATCTTATATATGATGACCCTCATCCTTAATGTCTCTGATGCTAACTTATGACCACACATACATCATGAATTATTAGTACCAACATCACTGAAATGCAGCTGTGCTGGATATCAGGTAATATATACATCACCTTTCCTGTCACCATATTGACTGGTCACAGTGGAATCTGCCAGATGTCACTATTCCACAATAAAGTCACTATTAACTCCATTGTAATTCACTGGTATTTTTCCAAGAATACATTAGTATGTTTATCATCAAACCTCTTCCCACCAGCATTGAGTCTCCCGACTGAAACAAACACCTATATGATGGTCGCCAAATGGTAATTTTCTATTTCTTTCATTCCTTCTGTATTTATTAGTTGACACTTTACTGAAAAGAAGAGACTTCCTTCCTTCTCCATTTGTTTAGTAACTTGTTTATAAGACTTCATCAATTTCCATTTTTATTCACAGAATGATAGTCCATCATTACTGTTATTACTTATTTTAATGTTAACATTGTTGATCTGGCCAGTGACAACCTGTGTTTTTTTGACATGTTTTACTATTTATTGAGCATTTCTGGCTAAATAAATAAAATATTCCAGGTTCATTTTATACTTTGCCTGATCCATCTCTGGAATCTGTCCTTTCTCCAAGGAGCTCTGATTCCTCTCAGTGAAGACAGATATCTAGAAAACAAGATCTGGGCACTCAGTGTGCTTGACACTTTTGGATTGTTGTCACTATTAGTACTTCTCAACAGAAAAAAATTTAGGAAATTATCTGCAAATAATGTTAAAAGTTACATAACTTTAATGTGTTGGTGTTTTGATTGCAGGGCAATAACAGTATCTTTTTTTTTTTAAGATTTATTTATTTATGCATAGGGAACTGGGGTTAGGTGCAGGGGCAGTGAGAGGATTCACCAGAGACAGAGCTGGGAGCAGAACAGGCAGATGGACAAAGTACACTCATGAGGGGAGCAGCGGGTAAGACAGGAGAGGTCTGCTGTGCTATGTGGTTTTCCTCCCTGGCCGGGGATTGAATTTCTGCTGAAGCAGCCACGGCCAGCTTCACAGTACTGTGCTTTAACCTGTTGCACCACCAGGGAGGGCCCATAACAGTATCTTCTTAATGAAATTATAGTCAGTAAGAAAAATAAGCTTTTTCTCTTTGTCCTTCTCCAGGTATGTGTAATCCTCGAAACTATAGTGACACACCTCCGACTTCAAAGAGTACAGTAGAGGAGCTTCATGAACCAATCCCATCTCTCTTTCGGGCACTCACAGAAGGAGATACCCAGTTGAACTGGAACATTGTTTCCTTTCCTGTTGCAGAAGAACTCTCACATCATGAGAATCTGGTTTCATTTTTAGAAACTGTGAACCAGCCACACCACCAAAATGTGTCTGTTCCCAGCAATAATGTTCATGCACCTTACTCTAGTGACAAAGGTAATTCCCAACAATGAATGTTTTTTTCTACCCGCTCACTTTCTAGGTAATCAGTAACACATATATTTAAGATTATCTTTTAGAGCAGTTGTTTGGCTTTGAGTTTGTAAGTTAAATAATGGACTTTAATATCCCCAGTCTCTGAGTAGGGAAGGAGACATGTCAAGCCTCTTGTGACAACTCCTCATACTCTTGGTGATAGAGGCCCTGTTATAAGGTAGATAACCCAGGCCTTATTTTGATTTGCATTAGGCTTTAATTGATTTTCATCACTTTTTACCTAATATTGTTAATTATCAAGTAACACGCAAAGTGTCCTGTGAAGGCAAGTTTTTATAATATCATTGGTACCACAAATGATGGCAAGCTTATCAGTTAACTTTAAGAGCAAGTTGGTATTTCAGAAATCTAATTACAAGGTATAAACAAACCTTAGTTAGTTCTCTGCAAATGGATATTAATACTCAGATGAGATAATGATTTGGACAACTTTGAAAAACATAGTAAAAGAATATTTAATAGTGAGGATAGGTCATACCTTAATTTGGAATTGGAAAAGGCATGTAACTTTAAAATCTGAGATATTTTCCAATAAAATTCTCCACATAGTTTTACTATGGAAGAATAAGGCAATTATGGAAATTGCTGTTATTTCTTAAAATTTGAGATAAATTATACATAAATATAATTTATAATTTTATTTGACTTTTTGTTTTGCCCTACATTAAAGCCTTGCCTATCTAAAGTAGTATGAACTCTGCATGTCAATACTGAAAACAAAACAACTTCTGTTAATGATAATCAGAGTAAAAATTCTTACTTTCTTTTAGGTTAAAGCTCTTTATAAGACAAATTCTAGATGATGAAAGGCATCAGAAATACACTGAATATGTCTGCATAACATGTTTTATACCATTTTCCCCATTATTAAATTGTAAATACTCAACATGAGTCATAAAATTTGCTCAAAGATTATGTAAATTCATGACATGACTGGTAGAAGACAAAAACCTGGAAAACAGCTAAAGTTTCTACTCTGTGACTCTTCCTTTGGGTGCCTCTTCCTCTAGGTGGGGCTATCCACTTGCTGCCCCTTCTCCCTGCATTTGCAGTTTGATTTGTTATCTGTTTTTTTAAAGGACTACCTTTTTTTTTCTTTTTTAAACTTGGCTCCTTGGACTTGCTAATTACTCTTTAGGTCTCTCATGGTTGGTCCACAGTAGATATTCAATAAATAGTTGAATAAATAAATGAAGTGGATTTGGCAGGTACCAGTTACAGACTTAGATGCTCCCCTATCCTGTTCAGTACCAACAGTACCAACCCTCTCATGTGCCTGCTCTGTGCTCCAGCCTCCCTGCTTCCGCCTTTACCCAGCTCCCATCTTGTAGACCCAGTGGTGGCTCTGCTCCTTCCTGGTACTAACCACTCCTGCAGCCAGGTCTCCCCTCCTTTGTGGCCCCCATGTCCACTGGACACATTTCCATGACTTTCCTGATTTTGCCTCCTTGTAGCTTTGCTTTTTAATCTTTTTCCTAATAATACAAGTCCAGTTTTTTCCCCTGTAAGCCTTCCCTTAATCCCTTATCAGCCCTTTAAATGCTCCTGTAATTTAGCTTTTAATCATATCCTCAATGGTTTTTTATTGTCTTTTATTTATTTCATATACTGTGTCTTTTCTAACTAGTTGTTATGTGAGGTTAACCACCAGAAGCACTAAAATTGAAACAATTAAAAGTGATCAGAGGCTAGAAATCCTATTAATTATAACAAAAAGAACTATTTTCTAATAGTGAATGTTTTGTTTCAAACTTTGTTAACCACTTTGTATCATTTGAATTACTTGTTTTATTTTATTATAAATTCTCAGTATAACTTTAGAATAGTATTTTTCAAACTTCTTTTACCTGGAGGATTCTCTCCTCATAGAAATAAAGTATAACTTTAAGGAGCACAGCGTTAAGCAGAACGAATGTTATTCAACCCAGTAAGCTAGCCTTTTCAGATTAAAGCCTAAAAATCTGATAGTTACTACGAAAGCACTTTGCTTTCTTGAGCTGGAGTGGGAGACTTTGACTTCCTTCTCATCATAATTGGTAAGTATGACCTTTCTTCCTGTTTCTAATCCATTGTCCTATGCATACTAGCAATTAGAGAACTAAGGTAAAGAATTGTTAATATTTAACTAGGAATTAAAGCATTTCCTTCTTGCTCTGAAATCTTAATTTTTTATTTTTTTAGAACACATGTGTACTGTGGTTTATTTTGATGACTGCATGTCCATACATCAGTGTAAAATATCCTGTGAGTCCATGGGGGCATCCAAATACCGATGGTTCCATAATGCCTGCTGTGAGTGCATTGGTCCAGAATGTATCGACTACGGTAGTAAGACAGTCAAATGTATGAACTGCATGTTTTGAAGAAGGAAATGAAGATGCAAATCAGAGCTGTCTAGTTAAAAGGAATGATATGGAAAGCTATTCATGAGGTCTACTGCTTAGAAGCGATGCCAACAGATTAAGAAGGTGGAAAGCATTTGGAGTGAGTTCTTTTGACAAACTTATGACAAATTTAGTAATGTATTAAATTATGATTATAACTGCTCTTATTGAATTTACTGCCTGCTAGCAATAAGCCTTAAAAACACGGACATCTTTGGTCATGTAAGATCTAAGTACGTGGAGAATTCCTGGAAAGGGCTGATATTTCTAACATAAAGTCTGATGTCATTTTCTTTTAGTGTTCTAAAAGCTTTGTTTTGATAATGTTAGGACATGTTAGTGTAATTTATGATTTCTTTATGTGCTGCTCCCAGGACACTGAGTTTTTACAATTATATGCCTTTTTTCACTGTGCCTTGTATTGTTTATCTATCCTATAATTAAGGTAGCTATTCAAATATATCATCCTAAGAACTCATGTAAGTCATTGAAAGCTTAATTTCAAACCTTTTATCTTGGTTTTATAAAGTAAATGCTTACTATATTTCACAACTTAAAATTTGCATAGTAGAATTCATCCTGTAGTACACATGCTGACAAAGTTTTAGGGAAAGTTTCTCTTTTTCTTCCAGCCCATTGCCAAAGTGCTGATGTAAGTACTGATGAAGAATTGTTACTGAGAATTTCAGGGCCTACCTGTGAGACTGGGTTAAGTACATTGCTATGGTACATAATTAGTAAGTTAAAGCATTTCTCTGAAGAACTCTAGGAATGGAAATTGACTGCCAAGTCACACTCCACTTAAAGCACCAGGGGAACAAGCTTGCTCCTTCTCTGGACATAGTGAAGCTGAAGATGAAGTTGTATGGGCTAGACAGGAGCAGGAGCTCGGTAGGCCCCAGCGCAGGCAGAGCCATGTTCTCCCATGGACTAATGACTAGAGGGGGTGAAGAAAAGGGCTTATCAGTATGAACAATGAAGGTTGAAAATGCTGCCAATTCCAGTGGGAAACAAACTTAAAACTACATTGTTTTGTTGTTTTGTATCAAGTGTTATTATCAAACAAGTTATTATTAATCAAGTATAATCATGTAGTAGAAGGCTAAAATTAGGAAACAAAAATATCTGTTCAAAATTATGTAAACTTTAAATATACCACAGATTATTTTGTCACCTTTTTATGTAATGTTCAATAAAAATAAACTTATGTACTATATGTTCTTCATAGTAATAAAATTCCAATCTTCAGTCATGAATCTAAAATATATTTATATTAGAAACTATAAGATTATTGATTTCTCTAGTGCATATTTGAGTTACAAGTAACATTTAGGAGTACTTAATATATAAATATTTTAGTATACAAAAATAATGATCTTAGATATCTTGTATTCATTATCTGAATAGTAGTTTGTTATAAGATCATATGTAATATTATGATTAACTACCATAAAATTTAAAACCTTATACTTTTTGTTCTTTCCAATAACTAATGAATGCTCAAAGTAATTTAGCCTTTTAAAAAGTTAAAATTTAGGTCATAGATATATTTTTTTAATAGGAAAACATTGAGATAATATTACTTTTACTTAGAATCCCTCTTTTAAAAGTGCCTTGGAAACATTTTAGCTGCCCTTTGTTCATTAATATCTATAAATTTTGAAGATTTTTTGAGCTTAAGAAAGGAAAGTTTTAAATAATGTCTTTCAGATTTTGAGGAACAACATTTTCCTAAATTAAAAGTCTAACATTTGGGAAATGAGTAGCCCCACTAAAATTTAGGCCTTCTTAGCTATCTAAACACAATTCACTTTTATATTTAAGCTCTGGTAAAGATTCTTTTAAAAATAAATTAAGTTGTCACCCTGATTATAACTATCTTTTAAAACACTAAATTTTAAACCAGTAGTTATTACAAAGCCATATGTAAAAGTTTCTTTCCTATACAAGGACATGTCCTTAGTAGCAGATTTTACCTTCCCCATAAAAAATTATTCTGAAACTGTACTCACAATAGTGCTGCCAAGTTAAATTATTCTAATAACATACATGTTATAAAAGAGAGGCCTTTCATTTAGACTATGCTTTCTAGTGTTTCAGAAACAAAGTGATTGAATACTTGAATAGTTACTTATAAACCAAACTAGCATCAGAAAGGAAAAAAACAAACTAAAACTTCTGAAAGATGATGTGATATAAATAAACCATATATTTAAATTCTTTATAGTGAAAATCCCTTTGAAGGTTTTTTAAAATCTTTTCTGCATTCCCAGGAGTCTATGTTTATTGTATTTTATGTGGCCTACAACATATATAATCATGTATATTATCCTTTGGTTGTCCTGATTAAAAAAATTTGTTTTAATAAAAAATTGAAATGAGTGTGTCATGTTTTCTTCAATTTTAGCATAGAACATGGAAATTATTTTGAAATTTCTGTCTTGTAACAACCAAACAAGCAAGTCCCTTATCTTCGAATGTCCCTACAGATTCTGTAGAAACGGGGTTCTTTAATAGTTTGCTCTCTGCTTTCTGTGTGCTTCGTGCCAATAAGGGTGATCTTGAAAATGGGATACTTAACCATTTTCCTTGCTCTGTGAGACTTATGATGATATGGGACTTAGTCTCACAAGACCTATCTGATGGTTAGGAGTTACAGGAATATTAAGGTAAAAATAATATCCCCAACTCGTGTACTTCTACCTATGTTCATAGCAACTTTATCATAATAGTCAAGTAATGCCCAGTAACAGGTGACTGGGTAAACTGTGGAAAATATTCTCAATGGAGTACTATTCAGCTATTAAATATGATGAAAAGCTACCTTTTAGTCCAAAGTGGATGGATTTTGAGGTGATTCTGTTAAGTGAATATATCATGATACTCATCCATATAACATAAATAGCCCCCCTCCCAAAAAAAGCTAACAAAGTATAGCAAGAATAATTCTTACTTTGAAAAATATTCTGGTTACAAAAGAGGATGCAGAGAGTAGAATAATTGCACAGGAACTTTGGTGGAGTGTGAATAAGTCATGTACACAATACAGAGACAAGAAGTTGTACTCCAAAAATTATATAGTTATGTAAACTACTGAAAAAAAAAAAGACTATGAGAAAGTAAACACATATAACACATACAAGATAATCTTAGCAAATGGAAAGTTCCATAAAATTGATACACTTGACAATATGGTAGAGAGTAACTAGGCTGTAGCACAGCTTTTCAAATGAAAGGTATAAAAAAACAAAAAAACTTGGAGGGGAAGAATTTGAAGCCAAGACTTAAAAGTTAAGACTAAGTCATTGAAATGGAATTATATTTCAGTTTGGGAATGATGAGTATTTTTATGTTATTAAATTCTTTCCAGCTAAAAAGAAATTCCCAGCTCTTCCATGGTGATTCACACAGACTGGCATTATAATTGAGAGCCATAGGCTGTACACTCATGGTAGATTATGTCACAGAATCTACCTTGTGACGGCCAATGTAGATATGGGGGAACTCTTAAGAGGACAGGGTGCCAGCTTAGCGACTTCAGGAAATGATAAGCATCAAAGGGGAGGGAGAGTTAGGCCCAAGGGAAGAGAGTATATTTAAATGAAGAGAGCTGTTCTTTTGCTGTGGCAGTTAGTCATGTGGAGCTTTAAGGCAGAGATCTGGAGATGCGGAGTTGGGAGGGACTATCCCTAAACTTGAGATGTGAGCACAGCAGAGTGGCTGTTCCACACCCAAAACCTTTTAAGTTCATTATGCCAGGCTAACCTGCCCTTACCTGCAGTTGTTGGCAGTGATGGCTCTTAGACCTTTTAGATAGTCCTAAATAAAAAAATACATTCTTTTGGTAGCCCTTAATTTTGAAGTCTATGTTTGAAGGCTGGGTCAGAACAATTCCAAGGTCTAGTTTTTGAGATGAGAATTCTCAGTACAGAAGAAAAGAAAAAAAGATTTCTGCCCTCCCACAGTCATGCTGTGATTCACAGGATGTTGCTTGGAATAGTACAGAGCCCCCACCAATAAGGAAGACACGCCCCCATTTGATTGAAGGCAGCTACTGAAGTTAGACATGGTGACCCCAGAAAAAGCTTTACAACAAACATGATAGCAGTTCCTGCTCTCTGATTTACCTGCTACACGCTGTAACCAGAGTAAAGGTTCCAAAACATGTGAAACCCATGTGCAGCTAATTACTGTCTGGACCCCAGTTCAACTTATGAGAGCAAATAACAAGGCCGTTTGCTCCTTAGCCTCAGAGGGTTAGAATTACCCTGTAAGAAGTAGGAGTAACACAGGACAACCTGCCTTTTGTTTTACAGAAGCCTCACCTGCTTGTGAGATTAAGCTACTGGGGGGGGGGGGGGGGGGGTGAGAATTAAAGCCTTTGGAGCTATGTGGCCAGTAGTTGCCCCCTTCCTAACTTTCAACTCATGAATAAGTGTTACAGACCACCCCAACTCTACAGTGTGGCCCTTTTGCACTCTAGGAAAGGAATTTACCAGAGAGAACTAGGTGTAGTTGACCAAGCAATATTTTATTAGAATAGACTCATATGGCCCTCCCTGGTGGCACAGCGGGTTAAAGCACTACACTGAGAAGATAAAGCAACTTCGGCATGAGTTCGATCCCCACTTGCCCTGGAGGTGACCACATGGCGCTGCAGACCTCTCCTGACCCACGTGCTTCTCCCCTCAGCAGTGTACTTCATTGATCTGCCTGTTCTGCTCCCTGGTCTGTCTCTGGTGAATCCTCTCACCCTCCACATCTCTGGCCTGTACCCCAGTTCTGTATGTACAAATAAATAAATCTTTAAAAAAAAAAAAAAACCCCAACCCCGAAAGTGACCACGTGGTGAGGCAGACCTCTCTTGACCCGCCTGCTGCTCCCCTCAGCAGTGTACTTGTCAGTCGACCTGTTCTGCTTCCCTCTCTGTCTCTGGTGAATCCTCTCACCGCCTCTGCACCTCTGGCTTGTACCCAAGTTCTGTATGTATAAATAAATAAATAAATCTTTCTTATTTAATAATATAATAGGTTATCTTTACATCATTTTTGTGCATTTTTCCATCTCAGTTGTAATCCCTGGGGGCTTCCCATCACCAAATCACCCATGTGCCATCACCATAGTCCAGTACATTTCCCTCCCCCACTGTGTTTGATCTCATTCCCCATTCCACCCCCCATAAAATGTCTTTGGTATATAGCTGTTCATTATTTAAATAAGTAAATCTTTAAAAAAAAAGACTAGTATATGAGAGAAAAGGTGCTAGAACGGAGCATTTAGCCTGATTCCCCACAGGGAGTTAGGAGATATTTAAAAGGCAGGTGTATGAGGCAGGAAGAGCAGGCTCATAGCTTATTCTGACTTGGGCTAAGCTGGGGCCTGCGCAGTTGGGTTACATTCCAACTGTCATGTGGGCGCTCAGCCTTCTCCTTCCAGGAAATTATGGAAAAAAATCATTAGTCAGAATCTAACACTTTTTGTCTGTCGTGTCTCAGGGTGAGGGTGGTGGTTGAATTGCTTGGATAGGACTAGCCAGTCTGATTTAGCCCACATGTTTGAAACAGGACCTGGGGCATTTCTTAGCCCACTGGCTTAAAAGTTCAGTTACCCAGGCTGACTGACTAGCAGTCTAGTCCTCATTTCCCAAAGCCTTCCAAATGTGCCTCTAGGATCATAGGAGAGACAAGAGAGATGACAGAGCCTCCCTTGTGACAATCAGAGGATGGGGAGGAGGGTTCAGAGTCAGATTATTTTTGAAGTAAACTAAATAATGAGATGTGAGGATTTGCATCTCCAGGTTTGTGAAATGGCATTTTTATTCCCCAGCCTCATCAACTCACAATGTCAGCTCTGTCCCATGCCACCCTCTGTTCCTCACTCCCCTCATTGATGGCTTTCTCTCCCTAAAACACTCCAAGTTCTTTTTTTTTTAATTATTTATGCATACAAGAGTGGAGTGCAGGCCAGAGGTATGGAAGTGAGAGGATTCACCAGAGATAGTGTGGGGAACAGAACAGGCAGATCAGCTGAAACTGACTGCTGAGGATGTAGCAGACCAGACAGGAGAGGTCTGTTGTGCCATGTGGGTCAGCTCCCTGGCCAAGTATCGAATTCGTGCTGCGTGCTGCAGTGGCTGTGGATAGCTTCATAGTGCTTAGACTTAACCCCTTGTACCACCAGGGAGGCCCCCAAATTCTCTCCACTCTTGGAGTTTTGCTTGAGTTGTCTCCTCTACTGCATCTGCTTTTCATACAGATTTTGGTGTTAACTCAGATCTTCATCACTCCACCCCAGTAACCCAATACCTTGTATTACTTTTTGAACAGCAGGTAACTCTTCAAAAGTATTTATTGTTACTTGTTTAGCATCTGTTCTCTCTACCAACATGTGAAACCCATGGAGGGAGTCTCACTTCATTTGTTTAGCAATGTTTATCAACTGCCTAAAGCACAGTTCGAGCACCCAAAATGTCTAATATGTGGCAGGTATGAACTGGTTTATGGATGAGCTGTTGCTGAGTTACCATCTACAGTGGTTAAAAACTAAGCCCATTCCGGGTCCTCCCTGGTGTCGCAGCAGGTTAAAGCACAGCACTAAGAAGCTAAAGCCACTTCAGCATGAATTCAACCTCCGCCCCAGAGGTGACCCACATGGCACAACAGACCTTTCCTGACCTGCCCGCTGCTCCCCTTAGCAGTGTACATCGTCGATCTGCCTGTTAGGCTCCCCATCCTGTCTCTGATGAATCCTCTTAACGCCCCTGCACCTCTGGCCTGTGGCCCACTTCTAAATGCATAAATAAATAAATCATTAAAAAAAATCAACTAAGCCCATTCCTTGCCCAGCTGGCACATTTGGGAGGCTCGAATAGAGAAGGGAATCCATGGGGTTGCCTTGGACTTTGGGCCAAACCACCTGACCAGAACACCAGTGCAGCTCCAGGAATGTAGAGGCAGAACAAGGACACATTCTGTGTCAAGGGCCAGCAGCTGAGACCAGACATCACTGTAGAAAACGGCTGCAGACTGGTACCCAGTTAGAAAGCCTGCAAAAGCAAGCTAGAAAAGAGCCTCAAGGCCTTCACATACAGACCCCTCCTTACTCAACCTTGCTCCCTTCAGGGTATTTCAATAAATCTGCCTTTTCTGTTCTTCACTCTCTCTGGGGAATTCTTACCCCCATTCCTCTGGCCTCAAGCCAGTATTACACCACAGCCTATCCTGTTACACTTCTGCTTTGAACAGTCCACCTCAGACCACCTCACCTCACAATCCATGCTGCAGCTCCCTGGGCTGCATCCACACCCTCGTAAAAGTTTCCCTTTGCCCCTGTGCACACCACTCATCCCCTCCACTGCCAGGCTCATGAAGGCCTCAGCTGGG